TTACTCTCGTGTTGGGGCATTCTCCCAGACCCTCCTTCCTGGGAGGAGTCTTTACTGAGTGTTTGGTGCCCTCTCCGGCAGCCGAGGGTGAAGGCTCCATAGAGGAGAGGATCCAAAGGAGCATTGAGAAGGCCAAAGAGGAAAAGGATATGGCTGAGGCTGGGAGGGACTTCGGTTAGCATGGTGGGGGAGAACCAGTACCACAGACCCAGTAGGTAATAAGGTGTCCAGCAGAGGATGAAGGTCAGTAAAACAAGGAGGGCCAGTCGCAGGGCCCGAAGACGAACACGGGGGCGAGTGTCTAAGGAGCGGCGTAGGGTAAATTCATCAGCAGGGGCTGGGAATTTAGAAAATATACTGAAATTCAGAACTACTCAGCTTCTGAACTGAGTGTAGGGTGAATTGATGGAAGGGCAGTCAGTGAAATGGAACCCTCACAACCAAGGAAGAGAATGATGTAAAACCTCTTACCCTCCCCAACCTGGCACTATCTGATCACCTTCTAGACATGACAGACATGCTTGAGAAAAGGTTTTTGTTTGTGATATGGGGATTGAATCTAGAGCTTCCTGCATACTAGGAAAGTACTTTAATCACAGAAATACATACCCAGACCTTCTTGTAAATTATATTTTAAGACAGGGTCTCACTAAATTGGCCAAGCTGGCCTCAAACTTGTCTTAGTAGCTGGGATTACAGGCATTTGCCACCATGATGGTGAGAGATTAGATTGTTTTGGTGAGAGGTTTTGGTTTGAGATGCTGTTAGGTGAAGCTACCAGGTCTACAGGTCGACTTGAGGATGTTAAATAATAAAGAACACTGATGACCTTTTTCTCTAATTTCTGCCTAGTTTACTCAACTGAATTAAAGGCAGTTTAGAATTGAAGGCATTCAATAAAGTTTATCTCCAGTGTCAGGTGCTAGAGATATGGTTAGCATCTTACTTTGGTTTAGTGGCTGATATATAGCTGTTAGGTAGATAAATAAATGAAGCTGGAGGCAACAGTTCTGGGAATAGGACTAAGGCCTGGGAATTGGTCTCACCCTGGCTCCCCTTTCTGGTTCGCGGACTGGACACACTGAGGACAATGCGGCTATAACAGATGGCCATGGCAGTTAGTGGCAGCAGAAAGAGGCAGCAGAAGGTGAAGAGGTTATAGGTGGTCTCTTGCCATTGAGCTTTGAAGCTGCCTTTGGTGACACACTGAGTGAAGGGGACTGGGCCAGCTCGGCGGACAGTATGGAACAGGAACAGCTGGAATGAAGTTGAGACTATTAGAACTGGTTCCCACACCATCCAACCTACTCACCTGTGTCACAATAGCTCCTCCCAATTAATCGTTATTAATTCCAGGTAGAATAGTACAGCACTGGGTAGTAGTTCATCCATCATACCACTTTAAAACGGTGAGAAATGTATCTTGAAAATGCCTGTCTTTCCCTTAAGCTTGAATAGGGTGCTTAGCATGCAACTTGTTAAAATCCTGGAACTTAAGAGAATCCTGCCTTTTCAAATACTAGCTTAACACTGCACTTTATGAAAGAATGGTAACACCACCATTTTACCCTCATGGCTTTCTGCTACATTTGTGGTAAATTTTTTTTTTCTTTTTTGGTATCAGGGGTACTTAACCACTGAGCAACATGCCCAGCCCTTTTTTGTTTTTTATTCTGCAAAGGCCTCACTAAGTTGCTGAGGCTGTTTTTGAACTTGTGATCCTCCTGCCTTGGCAGTTTAATATTTTCCAAATCCTATTGACTGCCCCTCCTCCCTTTGGTAAGTTGCTGGGGTTTGGGTTGAATCATTGAACTGAATATTTTTCAGTTTACAGTTGCAGGGTTAGAATACCTTTGTTCTAGTAATGTAAATTGAGTCATTGTTTGATAAGAGGTAAGCCCAGTAGGTGTCAGATTCCTAGATACTCAGCCTTTTTTTAGGAAAGTGAGTTCAGCAAACATGAGGAACTTTGAGAATTATGAGAAGGACTATAAAAATAGTCAAAGCCCTTGAAATTTACAAGTTTGGTCCATAGCCTTGCTTCTCTCCTTTTTTATATTTTATATGTTAACTTACCACCTACAATAGAAATATTCCTTTCAACTACTTAAAACTTGGAACTTTGAGCCTGGAAAAAAAAGGAAGTTCTAGCTATCCCTAATACTCCCTCTCTACTCTTACATCACACTATAATTTTTTAGGGAAACTAATATTTTAAATATAAGATATGGACAGTACAGAATTTATTCAAAAGACTAATCATCATATATATATATATATCACTACAAATTTGCCATTGAAACAAAGATTGCAATTATCAGATTGCCAAACTTCAAAAAAGAATTAAATTCATTTACTATTACATCATCTTGTGCCAGCATGGATTTTCAAGGGATTCAGCCAAAAACATAAGGTAGGTAGTGGTAGAGCCTAGACTTGGGAGGGGAAAAAAAGCAAAGTAAAAGAGTCAAACAATACAATAATAACAGTCATCCCCCACATCTAAACTTTTATTTAAACACACCCAATTTCTATTGCCCTGTGGCAACAGGCCTCTTAATTCTCTGTGTGGTGCCAGGGAGTGAACCTATTATGTTTAGCATGTAAAGCAGGCAATCTACCACTGAGCTATATTCCTAGCCTGCAGGCTTCTTCTTATTGTTTGGGGTAGTAAAGATCCTGTTTGAAACATCATTGGAAGATTGTGTGTACACGCGCGCCTGCGTGTGTGTCCCTTAGTACTGTAGTCAGACTTTTGATAGTTAAATTTCTAATATTTGAGAATTTAAACATCAAACCTTAAATCCGACTATAATGCATTATTCCACAGAGTGAAGTCATAGACCCTTTTCGGTCTCCTGACATAGTCCTAATTCTACAGTCTCTTGGTTAGTGGTTTTTGTTTTGAAGGAATTGCTCAACATTTAGCTTTTTTCTAGATTTCTACAGAATTGAGATTGGATTAACCAGTACTCAAATTTGGATGCTCCCCTGTTTACAGTTTTAACACCCATTCTATAGTAAAGCCAGAGTAAAAAATTACAAAACTGATTATGTCATTCTTCTTTTACCTTAGTGTTTCCACTGCTCTCAGAATAAAATATGAATTTAGTACTTCCCTGAGTAGCAACCTTTTGGGATCCTCCACCCTCCATCTTCAGCATTTTTCCTTTTTTAAACCTGTTTAATACCTTTCCATTTTTCAAGAATTAAATTTTTCAGACTGCAAAAGTTGGTCAGACACTCGTCATTGTTCTTTAACTCTTTACCTTTAGCATAACACTTTTGACTGTACACTCTAGTGTAATAGCCCAATTTGTCTCCTGCATGAGTCTATATCTATCTATCTATCTATCTATCTATCTATCTATCTATCTATCTATCTATCTATCTTTTTGGTCCTGAGGATTGAACCCCGGGGCTTTACCACTGAGCTACATCCCCAGTGCTTTTATTTCTTTTAATTTGAGCCAGGGTCTTGCTAAATTGCTGAGGCTGGCCTTGATATTCTGATCCTCCTGCCTCTACCTCCTGAGTCACTGGGATTACAAGCATGTTCCATCACATCGGGTTATAAGTTTTCTGAAGACAGAACTTTTGTTGCTATATCCTTAGCATTTGAGTATCAAGAGATGACATGTATTTTTTTGAATCTGTGAATGAATATCTCCAAGTTTTACCCAAAGCCCCTGACTTCCCTCCTCTTAGTAGATTCCCATGTTTCCTCCCTGCCCTAGAGTTTTTCTGCACCAATCTCCTGAAGGAGGTGGAAGCCATGCTCAGTAAAGCAAACCTAAAGGAAGAGGCCCCTATAATGGGGTAGTGCTTTTCAAAAGTAGGCTTTTACCAGATGTAAATTAACATGCAAACGATCTTAACTTGCCCAAGAGATAAGAGGCTCCCCCAAGGAAGATTAATGGCTAATGTGGCCAATGGCACTCTTTTTTGACACCCAAGGCTCATACAATGTAATCAAATTCTCGTCCGGCCCAGCCCATATTCCCAAGTCACTCACCTGGGGCAAGGCAAGCAGGAAACTAAGTCCCCAGGCTATTCCCAGAAGTTTCTTTGCACCTGAGCGGGGTCCAAGCGGGTTGAGTACTGCTGCCTGGCGGTCAAGTCCTATGACTACAGGCAGGAAAGCTGCAGCATACATGGCCATTAGTTTCAGGAACATAAGTGTCCGACATGCGATGTCCCCAGCCAGCCACTGAACGGTAATATTCCAGGTAGCATCTAGGGGCATAACCACAAAAGTGACCAGCAAGTCGGCAGCTGCCAAATGGGCGAAGAGTCGCCGGACGGGGGAGGGTCGGCGCTGGCTGGATTGCCGCCGTGTCACAGACCACAGCACGGCCAAGTTACCGCCAGCTGAAGAAACAAAGAGCACAACGGTGACCCCCACTCGGACCTTGGCTGCAGCTGAGAAAGTGGGTAGCTCTGAGTCTTCCAGCTCCACTCCTGATCCCGCCCATATCTCCTCCCCCACTGCTGACCCGCGAGGGGTGCCATTGCCAGCAGACATGGTGGCCTGGAAGGGAAGGCTGGGGAGGAGGAAGTGGGGTCTGCAGCAGTGAGCTCTGGTCGCTGGCTGATTCTTCGCTCGCCTTTTCAGGACCTGAAGAGGGCTACTGCGGATGTCGTCCACTAAAGGCTCTGTCCCTTGAGACGCTCTGTCTGTTCTGGAGGACACCAAGAACCTGGTGCTAATCACGCCCTTTCCCACTTGGACAGTTCGATCAGTCAGGACCTCGCACTGCCAAGACCTCTGTAGCGCCTAGACTACAGGACTCGGCCGGAGCGTCGCGTGCACGCGGCAGTGTGCGCGCGTGGGGCGGTCCGCCGAGTCCGCCCGCCGCGACTTCCATCCCGCGGCCAGGGCGCGCACGCTGCGGCGCCTTTCCCGTCCCGCCTGCGGGCCTCCAGGCCCCGGCCTTGGTCCTGAATACTTAGATCTCGAAGTGCTGCTGGAGGCGTGTTTAAGGGATAGAGACCATCCCATAAGGGGTCCGCTGACCGAGAAGCACCACCACACGGAAGTGTAGGCCACGAGATCAACGCTGGCGCCCTGAAATTCCGTTCCAGGGCCGGCTCCATTCGCTGTCTCGCTGATGCTGTGTGTCCCTCGCGAGGCACCGTTGGATCGCCTAGGAGGCGTGACTGGGTGCTGGGATGAGGGCGGGAGAGGACGGTGGAGGCGGGGCTGCCGCTGTCATGGACGCCTGGGTCCGCTTCAGTGCTCAGAGCCAGGCCCGGGATCGGCTGTGTAGGTGCGGCCAAAATAGGAATAGGGAAGGGTGGGCAGAAGAACATTATCGTGAGGCGGGGGTCCCTGCAGGTACGGGGGTCCAAGAGGGTCAACTCCGGCTACGGGGGCCCGGACGGACAGTGAGGCACAGACTTGAGCTGGTTGTGAGGAGATGAGTCTTCTCCTACTCACAGGAAAGATGGGAAAACTGAGGCATGAGTGGGCCAGCGGGGCGGCCCCCGGGGGGTTGCTTCCACCTGTGATCAACAGTTTGCCCACTAGGCCGTGGTGGGACGCGGAGCGTTCACCCGCGGTGGACAGCGACCGGGCTTTTGCCCAGAGCCGAGGAGACGCCCGTCTCCCGGTGCCCCACCGTGCTGTCTAGAGGGCCTCGGCCCCGCTCCCTCGCGCTCTCCGCCGAGACCCTGACCCGTCTTATCCACCTAGGAGACTGGCTGTCCGGTTTCCGCCCCTCTGCGTCGAGTGTGCACGCCGTGCGGACGCGCTCGCCGGGACCCTGCTCCTCCGGCGCCTCCGGGCCGTCAGGGCCCGAGACCTCTAGATTACCCTTCCCAACCCTTGTAGGCTCCTCTGGCCGCTAAGCCTGTCCCTCCCCTGCCTGGAGAGACGCGGTGAGACGTGGGCGTGTAGAGGAGGACCGCGCAGTGCTGCCTCGGTGTTTGCAGAAGCTGGGCGGGGAGGGGAGGGAGGGTCCCCCCTCACTTCGCCTCTCCTCCAGGGCCGCCCAGTATGCTTGCTCGCTCCTCGGCCACGCACTGCAGAGACACGGGGCCAGCCCCGAGCTGCAGAAACAGATCCGACAACTGGAGGGCCATCTGAGCCTCGGAAGGAAGCGTAAGTGAGCCCGCCTCCGCCCTCACCTGCTCTCCCACTGACCCGCTCCTGTTTTTTACCACTTCTCCCTCGTTTGACTTTGCACTTATTCTCTGAATGTGACCCACTGAGATGAGAGCAGGCATAAGGAAGTAAGGGAGGGCTGAAGAGAATAGAGCAAACCTGAGAAAACTAGGACTAAAATTTGAAGTAAAGAATAATGAACTACTCTGCTCTTTTTAGAAATCGTTGTTACTATCACTTGTTCAACTTTCACCTCTCTTTGTTGTGTGTTTTGTTTCTGACTCTACTTCCAAATCCTTGTGTTCCCTTGTTATCTCCACAAGTTCTGCGCTTGGGCAACTCAGCAGACGCCCTTGAATCAGCCAAAAGAGCTGTGCACCTGTCAGACGTTGTCCTGAGATTCTGCATCACTGTTAGTCACCTCAATCGCGCCTTGTACTTTGCCTGTGACAACGTCCTATGGGCTGGAAAGTCTGGACTAGCTCCCCATGTGGATCAGGAAAAGTGGGCCCAGCGTTCATTCAGGTCTGTTACCCTTTTTTCTTGAAATACCTTTGGTAGCCTCCATACTACATAGCTTGCCTTTTAAGAGAAAAAAAAATCTCTCAGGATCTTCCCAGAGCACAGTTGTCCCTCCATATCCATGGGTTCCACAAATTCAACCAACCACAGATTGAAAATGCATCTGTATTGAACAGTCTTTTTGTCATTATTTCTTAAATAATATAGTATAGCATCTCTTTACATAGCATATACATTGTAGTAAGTATTAGAGAATGATCTAGAGTTGATTTAAAGTATGTGAGAGGATATGTATAGGTTATATGCAAATACTATGCCAGTTTAATGGAGGAACAGGGGAAAGGAAGGGAGGTGGGAATGGGAAAGACAGTAGAATGAACCAGACATAACTTTCCTATGTTTGTATATGAATACATGACCATTGTAACTCCATATCACATATAACTACAATACTTGAAAGTTATACTCCATGTATGTATGATGTGTCAAAGTACATCATTTTTTTAAGAGAGAAAGAGAGAGAATTTTTAATATTTATTTTTTTAGTTTTCGACAGACACAACATCTTTGTATGTGGTGCTGAGGATCGAACCCAGGCCGCACGCATGCCAGGCGTGCTACTGCTTGAGCTACATCCCCAGCCCCAAAGTACATCATTTATAACTAAAAATTAACAAAACAAAACAAAAATAATATGCCAGCTTATAAAAGGGACTTGAGCATTTGTGGAGTTTGGTAGGATTTAGGTATCCAAGGAGTGTCCTGAACCAATTCCCCAAAGAGAAACTATATACCAAAGATAGTTATATGTGTCTTAATCACTTGGTTTCAAATCTTCATTTAGATCCTAAACTGTCAGAGAAAAATAAATGTGGGCACATGGAAGACACATGCTCTTCCATGATGTAGTACCAATTCCCATGAAGTTTCCCATCTAATGGGAGAGCCATTTTAAAACAACCACTCACCTATATTTATGGAAAAGTACAGGGTGTTATGAGAGAATGTATCAAGGGGAGCTGATTTAGATTCAAGGATCAGGGAAGAATTCTTTGAGAAAGTAATATTTTAGTTCAAACTTGAAGTCTGAATAGTAGTTAGACAAAAGAAACAACAGAAAAGGTCTTTCCAAACAGAAAATTGCATATGTAGAAAATAATAAAAAGCTAGATGATGAATAGTATTGAGTAAAGGGCATAAATTCAAGTTGAGAGATAAGAGCCAGTCTTATTCAGAGCCTTTGAGGTAAGATGTTGTTGTTGTTGTTGTTGTTATTGTTTAAATTTTATCCTACATACATATTGAAGGATTCAAAAAAGGGATTTGACATGACTTGAATTGTATTTAAAGAACATTTTGTTGTTGTTACCAGGGATTTAACCCACTGAGCCACATCCCCAACCCTTTTTTCTTTTTTATTTTGAGACAAGTCTCTCTGAGTTGCTTAGGGCCTTACTAAGTTGCTGAAGCTGGCTTTGAACTTGCAATTCTCCTGCTTCAGTCTCCCAAGCCATCAGGATTACAGGCATGCACCATCATGCCTGGCCAAGAACACCTATCTTGCTGTGATGTGGAAAATGGATTATAGTAAAGCAAAAGGGGAGGAGATGATCAATTGTGGGCAAGAAATGATATTGGCATGGACTAAGTGGGTGATGTGAAATATGATTTGAGAATAAAATTGGTTAAGTGCTCCTGGGTTCAATCCCTGGTACCAAAAAAAAAAAAAAATTCTTCCTGTTACAGTTGATTCCCCATCTACAGATTCAGCGAACCACAGATCAAAAAATATTAGGGGAAAAAATTGCATCTGTTTTGAACATGTATGCACTTTTTTCCTTGCCATTCTTCCTCAATATAGTATAATAATTATTTATATAGAATTTGCATTGTGTAGGTATTATAATGAATCTAGAGATGATTTAAAGTGTACAAGAGATTGTGCATAGGTTATACGCAAATACTATGCATACATTTTACGTAAGAAACTTAAACTTGTGCAGATTTTGGTATCTGTAGGGATAAGGGTTCAAGAACAAATTCCCTTCAGATTCTGAGGGATAACTGTACATATCATCTCTATTTGTCTTTTGTAGGGGGACTTTTTCTTTTCTTATTCATCATATCAGCATCTTTCCATCTCTGTTTCCGCCTTGCTTTTAATCTTTCTCAGTGAGTCACAACTCCAAAATGGTTTATGATGGTGAGAGTGGAGACATTACTGGAGTGATATTGAAAGGCAACTCCCTAGAAGAGTGTATATGCTATATTTATTCATTTTATTCAACAAATATTTATTAAGCTCATATTATATTGCATGCACTGGTCTAGAAACAGGGATAAAGTGGTTAAAGACAAACAAGGTCCTCCTTCCTATGGAACGTACAGTGTAATAAGGGAGACAGATCAGACAATAAGAAGAATATCAGATAATGGCAAGTGTTATGAAGAAAATTGAAATAGAATCATGTGGTAGATAGTAAATGGCTCACTGCTTTAGACTGAAGGTCAAGGAAACCCTCTCTGAAGATATAACATTTACGCTCAGACCCGAAGAGCAAAAATGAGTCAGCCATGTGAAGTTTTTCAAGAGAGAAGATTCCAGGTACAGGAAGTAGATAATACAAAGGCACTAAGACGGCAACAATCTGGATGGGATCGAAATATAGAAGGAAACCAACATAGTTGGAACATAGTGATTGAGGAAAGAATGGTTCAAGAGAGGCAGAGGCCAGATATGTTGAGTCTGGAAGCCTGTTTAAGGTATCTAAATTTTATTGTAAATGTGATAGGAAGGAAATTGTGGAACGTTTTAAGAACAGGAGTAGTGATGTGATTTATATTTATGCTAACTACTTTATGAAATGAAATTGTTGTAGGGCAAATGGCTATAGAGAGACTAGTCAAAAGATTAAAGCAGTGTTATTAAATTCAGGATATATTTTGGAGGTAGGATGATTTGTTGAGTACAGACCAATGTTGTCAGAGTGGGTTAACAATCAAAAACAAATTTTGTACTTAAGGAATTTATGATCTTAACACATTTGGCAATTACTTAAAACCTTTAGGCCTCTTTTTAAACATTTTTTTAAAAAAGAACTGGATTTAGCTGATCTATAATATGTATGTGTGTCTCCAGTAACTAAAGTTTGTTCTTTGAAAACAAGTTTGTTGCTTGCTTGCTTGCTTTATTTATTTATACATACATACCAGGGATTGAACCCAGTGGTGCTTAACCACTGAGCCATATTCCCAACCTTTTTAAAAAATATTTATTTTTTAGGTATAGATGGATACAACACAATGCCTTTATTTTTATATGGTGCTGAGGATCGAACCTGGGTCCCACCCGCGCTAGGGGGACACTCTACCGCTGAGCCACAATCCCAGCCCCCTTCTCAACCCTTTTTTATATTTAGAAATAAGGTCTTGCTGAGTGGCTTAGAGCCTCACTGAATTGCTGAGGCTGGTTTTAAACTCATTATCCTCCTGCCTCAGCCTCCTGAGCCACTGGGATTACAGGCATGTGTCACTGCACCCAGCCTAAGTTTGCATTATTATGGGACAAAAGTTGAATATAGTATAGGCTAAGGGGTTGCCTTAAAAGTGTAATTTCAGGTTGACCTTTAAAGATTTCATGATAATGAATTTTAAGACTGAATCTTAAGGTGCACACAAACACTTACTGGTTATAGAAAGGTAGGAGGACTTTTTCTTTTCTTATTCTTATTGGGATATACTTGACAAATGTAAGTTGTATACATTTAAGGTGTACAGCGTGATGTTTGGTATTGTACATTGTGAAATGATCACCACAATAGTCTAGTTAACATATTCTTCATTACCTCATAGTGACCTTTTTTTTTTCCAATAGTGAAAACACTTAAGATCTACTTTCTTAGCTGGGCATGGTGGTACATGCTTGTAATCCCAACAAAAACTCAGGAGGCTGAGGCAGGAACATCACAAGTTTGAGGCCAGCCTTGGCAAAGAAAGACCCTGTCTCAAAATAAAAAATTTAAATGGCTGGGGATGTAGCTCAGTGGTAAAACTCCTCTGGGTTCAATTCCCAGTATCAAAAAGGAAAAGTAAACCTTCTTAACAAATTTTAAATATATAAAACAATATTGTTAACTATAGTTCCCATGCTATATGTTAGAGCTCCAGAACTTACTCAGCTTGCATAACGGAAACTCTATACTCTTTGACAAACATCTTCCCATTTCCTCTACCCCTAAACCTCTAGCAACTGTCATTCTATTCTGTGCTTCTATGAATCAGACTGTTTAGTTTCCACATGTATGTGAGATCATGTGGTATTTATCTTTCTGTGTCTAGCTATTTCAATCAGCATAATATCCTGAAGGGAGGACATTTCTAATAGTAGATGATAACATTCACTTCTGATATTCTAATGTATAATCCCTTTGCTCTACATGAGAAGGAAATGTTTGTGTGTTGGACATGTTAAGTAGGTCTGCATGCCCTTCTGACCTTCTGCCCTGTGTATCTCAGGTACTATCTGTTTTCTCTCATCATGAATTTGAGCCGTGATGCTTATGAGATTCGCTTATTGATGGAACAAGAGTCTTCAGCTGGTAGCCGGCGAATGAAGGGTTCTGGAGGAGGAGGAGTCCCAGGAGGAATTGAACCTGGGGGACCTGGGGGCCCAGGGACTCCAGGAGGAGGCCTGCCCCAACTGGCTCTGAAGCTTCGGCTCCGGGTCCTGCTCCTGGCTCGGGTCCTTCGTGGGCATCCCCCTCTTCTGCTGGATGTGGTCAGAAATGCCTGCGATCTCTTCATTCCACTGGACAAACTAGGCCTCTGGCGTTGTGGCCCTGGGGTTGTGGGGCTTTGTGGTCTTGTGTCCTCCATCCTGTCTATTCTCACCCTAATCTGCCCCTGGCTACGACTCAAGCCCTGATGTTCTGGTATAGGATAAGGAGGGGAACTAAACTAGTGAGGTGGAATTTTAGATTGCATCCCCCCCACCACCTGTACCATCCTCATTCCAATTCTACTCCTTAATTGAAATTAAAATCCAGAGATTTGGGGGTGAAGGAAGGAACTTTGGGGAAGATGAGGTGAGGACAGATGACTTGCCAATAGAATGATTCTAATACACAGCTATGCCTGAGGTTTTATTCTTTTATTTTTTTCATTGTCTGTGTCTCTTTTGATGTAATTTATCAATCTTAAGTCAATTTAAGAGTCTATCTCTGTGTATCTTTTTTACCTTCTCAGACCTCTGTCCAGAAATTTAAAATGGGATTGCTTTTTGGTAGGGGAAGTTTAAGATTTGGTTTGAAAGGTTCTAACTGCCTTTTTATTCTCAGAGAGGTAGCTCATAGCAGGTTTTCTCCTTTAAACTCAAAGTCATAATTTTTATGTTCCAGTGTTTTCTCCTATCTCTGTACCACAGGTTGATAATTTTTCTTCCTCCCTCGTATCTACCTCACCAACCTCCATTATGATTCTCTGTATCCACACCTTCAGATTTCTGCTTGCACTTGATTTCAGAGTTATGTTCCCCAGCTGCGTCTTACCCCATCTTTGCCTATCCAAATGGATGCTGTGTCTAGCATCTTGTTGTAAATACTGTACAGTGATCTTTGTAAATAGCCATTGCCCATGCCCACAGTGAAGAGCAAGCCTTCGAGGTCAGCAAATTAAAGATCAGTTTGCTCATTGACATTTGGTCTGCTCCTTCATGTTCTGGTCACTCAATGGCCCCTATTCCTGTCACTGTGGTTTGGATTTTCCATGGAGTTGGCCACAACCATCACTACCCACATATTTTTATTGAGCACCTATAGTATGCAGGGCAAAATACTGGGTAGTGAACATGTCAAAAGCTAAGAAGCTCCGTAGTGCCACAGTTCTTTGACATGTTTATAGCTTAGTTGAAGAGTTGGGGGAGAAGTGGTCTTAGCTAAAGTAATTACTCTGGCTCCTCAAAACACACATCATTACCAGTTCATAGTTATAGTCCCTCCAAAAACTATAGCCCTACAAGGCAGCACAGGCTAAAATCCATGAACAGAACTAAGTGGAATGAGATTGGTAAGACTTGATTTGGGGTCTGTGCCTTCACACACTGGGACTCTCCTGGGTGGGTGGGTAAATGGTACCACTTCTCTTTTGTATTGCATATCCTAGGTTGAGATAAATAGGGGATGAAAATAATCTGTCTCCCACCCCTACCTACTTCCTGTTCTAAATCTGAAGAAAGCGTTATTGACCTGTCAACAAATAAAAGGAGTAGAATAAAAGTGAAGTGGCAGAAATGGTCAAAAATTGTTTTCTCTTTGGATATTGGAAGGAGGCCTCCAGGGGGCAGCACGAAGACAGAGAAATAAACCAATTTAGTTAGGCCTCCTTGGTCTGGGGCTCCCCACAGTTTCCCACCATCACTCCTCCCATTCCTTCCAACTTTATTTTTAGCTACCAGTGGGAGGGGGCAGGATAGGAGGGAAAGTAGCAGAAAAGGAGAAAGACAGAAGCACAGAGGACTTCTGACACAGGACAGAACAACCAGGCATGGAGCTCCCCGTCTTCCCTCACCTGTTCTTGCCCCTGATGTTCCTGACAGGTGAGGGACGTTAACTTCTTGGTTTCTGTTGGGAATGAAAGATGTATGAATTGTGTGAAATTGGGTCAATTGGGGTATAAAAGTTCTTTGGGAGTTAGGGTAGGAGGTTAATAGGATTCAGTATTCCATGTGTGTATTCCCACAGGCGACTGCTTTGATATTGAGATTAGCAGAGGCTGAAGTTGACTAGGGCCTTGCCAAAGATTTGTACTTAATTTCCTTAACCCTGTGGGAGTGAGGAGACGGAAAAGCAACATGATGTGACCTTCCACGTGGCTAGTCTGATTCCTATTATTTCCCTCCCTCCTTCTCCCTATGCTTGGTAGTACATGGGGCTTGAAACAGAACTGCCTTACTATGTGGTCAGAACTCTGGGTTTATCTAACCCATGATCCATAGTCCCTGATCATACAGCCCTGCCAATTTCCTGGATGCAAAAGGTTCACATACAAAACACCTTTCTGAAAGTAAGCATGGTTTGGGTTAGAACTATCTGTAGTCATTGGTAGTGTTGGTGGTGGGGTAGCCTGGGAGGGGGTTGCTTGAAAGTAAGGAGTAAGACCCAGTTGGGAAGAGCAACATGGGAGGGACAAGAGAACTGGATTTTTCCTTGATAGTGCCCTATAATCTTTGTTTCCTAAAATACCAGCTCTGATTTTAAAGGAATTGGGGTCAGAAGGAAAGAGTCAGCAAGGACATGACTGGGGGCCTTTAGAGTGTGTTGAAGTTTGAGGAAACCATGGAGGTAGGCAAGGGGCAGTTGAATGAGATAAAAAGAAAGCAGATTAAGGGAAACTTTGGGGTAATGGGTCCGTTGGCAAGGATGGATGGCAAACTGTGTGGGCAGGCGGGTGGCCCCACCCAGTTAATTACCACTGAGGTTTCCAGGGCTGGAACCACCAGCAACCTAGACATTGGAGAAAGAGTGAGAGTGTGACAATGTCACTGGGAATCAAAAAGAGAGAGGAGAGACCCAGACACACAATGCACTTTATATTGCTTTTGTTCTGCCTATGGTCCTGAGTTTGGGGGGATTTTGGAAGAAATGGTTGTTCTGGGGTTGTAGAAAGGTCCTCTCCCTCTTTTGACCCTCACAGTTTGGAGAGGAAGATGTGTAGGAGGAATGATATGAAAAAGAGTAATCTGACCTTTCCAGACACATCTGTGAATGAGATTTCAGGAGTGGAAATGGAAATACAGTTGTGCATCATCATGGCCGAGAGCCACAGGACCCAAACACGGGAAGGGAGCATTCCTTTGGAGACTCTGAATCTATGACATTGACAGAGTCCAGGAGAGCTTACGAGTAAGAAGAAGGCAGAAAGATTGAGATTCAGATGCTACTTCATGGTTTCTCTCTGGCTGTGCATCCCAGTCATGACTGACCATTTCATGTTAATTCTATGATCCTGGCCCAACAGGTCTCTGCTCCCCTTTTAATCTGGATGTGCATCACCCACGCCTATTCGCAGGGCCACCTGAGGCTGAATTTGGATACAGTGTCTTACAACACATTGGGGGTGGACAGAGATGGTGAGGAGGAAACCAGAGAGCGATGGGATTGGGACTGTGATAGTGCCAATAAAGGGGAGGCAAAATAGATGGGATTCCGGGTTCGTCTGGTTTTTGCAAAGTGACTGGGGCTCTAAACTTGCCACCTCAATGTACTTTCCCTCTGACCTCTGATAAGGGTCATGTTCACCCTATGCTTATACTCACATCCTCCTCCCAGGATGCTGGTGGGCGCTCCTTGGGATGGGCCTTCAGGTGACCGGAGGGGGGACGTTTATCGCTGCCCTGTAGGGGGGCCCCACAATGCCCCATGTGCCAAGGGCCACTTGGGTAAGAAGATGCCTGACCCTTCCCCTCCTAACCCTTTGACACCCTAGTATCTTTGACCCCTTGTTAGCTTCTTCACCTCCATAATCCACACATGCCCTCTCCCCTTCACATTCTCTTCTAAAGCCACCTTGAACTCAGTCATGCCATCTGTGACCTCATGATCTCATTCTCTTCCACTCCCCTCCAACCAGGTGATTATCAACTGGGAAATTCATCTCATCCTGCTGTGAATATGCACCTGGGCATGTCTCTGTTAGAGACAGATGATGATGGGGGATTCATGGTGAGCTAAGGAAAGGATGGTGGCAGGGTCTCGGAAGGTTTGTGGTAGAAAACAAAAGAACATTGTGGTAAAGGAAACTAGTCCATGTGGAGGGGTCAAGGAGTTAAAGCTAGAAAGAAAGGTAGGGCCTCCCAGGGAGTAGTCTCAGTGTGTGGGAGCATGTTCTGAGGGTACTCTTCAAACATGGGAGTAACTGTTTCCCCTGACTGTCCCCAGGCCTGTGCCCCTCTCTGGTCTCGTGCTTGCGGCAGCTCTGTCTTCAGTTCTGGAATATGTGCTCGTGTGGATGCTTCATTCCAGCCCCAGGGAAGCCTGGCACCCACTGCCCAACGTGAGCTGGAGGAAGAGCCTAAAAACTCAGTTCCCAGAATGGGAAGCTGGGTGGGAAAAAGATGGGGCAAAAAGCTCTGCTTGGCCATCCTCATTGCTACTTAATGTACCTGCAAAAGCTCCTTGTTTCCTAACAGATTAGAGTTGGATTCCTTACCAAGGCATAAAGACTTGGTGATCTGGTCTAACTAATTTCAAAAACCCAACTTATACCTTCATATACCCTGGGCCTTGACCATAGCATTCCTCTCACCACTCTCTATGTGTCATCTCTCTTCACGCACCTCTGTTTCCCCTTGTTACAAGTGTTCTCTATTCAAATGCCTTTCCTTATATTCTCCTCTCCTCAAACATCTTTAAACTTCATGTATCTTCTTCTTCCTCTTTCTTTTCCCCCTCCTCCTCTCTTTTTCTTTTTGTAGGCCAGGCAAGCAAGCACTCTACCACAGAGCTACAGCCCCAGCCCATTACCTTCCTATCTGCTCCCCCATTTGACTTTCAATCAGAATCCACTCCCTGGGGCCGGAGCTGTAGCTCAGTGGAAGTGCATGGGCTGAGTATGAATGAAAAAAGGCCTCTTCACTCTTCACAGCAAAGTGGTGCTTTGTTTCTCCCTGGCTTCTTCTTTCCTCCATTTTTTACTAAATAGTATATATTCCTGCCTCTTCTCTTGTCATTTATAACTTATCCAGGGCCTGGCACAGTTTTTTACTTGCATATAAGAAGGTACCTAATAAATATTTAGTTGAATGTGTCCTCCTGTGACCTCCTGTGTCCTCACTTGTTGACCCCAGCCCAGTATTTCTCTACTTATTTGTTTCCTATCACCATACCCCTCCTCCTAGGTTGCCCCACCTACATGGATGTTGTCATTGTCTTGGATGGCTCCAACAGCATCTACCCCTGGTCTGAAGTTCAGACTTTCCTGCGGAGGCTGGTAGGAAGATTGTTTATTGATCCAGAGCAGATTCAGGTAAGAGAAGGCAACATAGATGGGCTTGGAGGGAAAGAGATAGTCGCAAGGTGGTATCTTCAGTAGTATCAGGTATTTCTCTCCCTCCTCTCTCCTCTCCCAAAACATTTCATTTGGGTACACACTTTATTCTCAGGTGGGACTAGTACAGTATGGAGAAAGTCCTGTACATGAGTGGTCCCTGGGAGATTTCCGAACCAAGGAAGAAGTGGTGAAAGCAGCCAGGAACCTCAGCCGGCGGGAAGGACGAGAAACAAAGACTGCCCAAGCAATATTGGTGGCCTGGTGAGGCATTGTGAAGGGGAGGCAGAGTAATGAAGGGTTACAAGTGGGTTTGGAATATATTGTGTATATCCCAAGATGTCTTGCATGCTTATTTTTATATGCATATGGGTGACGCATGGAAGAAGTCTAAGTTGGCCGTCATTATATTCCCTCTCACTGCATTTCTACAAAGTGTTTATGTCTGTATCTCTCTAAGTCTCTGCTCTATCTTTGCAGACAGAACTCTATCTCTCTGTATATCCTCACTCCAACTTTGATCAGGTTCTCCACCACTCATATCTTACCCCTCTTCCCAAACATGATTCAAAATTCATCTCTAGGAAGACCCCCCCTGACCTGACAATTCTTTCTCCTCCTCCTCCTCCCCCTCCTCCCCCCCCCCCCCCCTCCTCTTCCTTCTCCTTCTTTTTTCTTCTTCTCCTTCTCCTTCTCCTTCTTCTTCTTCTTTTTTTTTTTCTGGTACCAGGGATTGAACCCAGGGTCACTCAACCACTGAGCCACATTCCAGCCCTCTTTTTGAGACAGGGTCTCAGTAAATTGCTTAGGGCTTTACTAAATTGCTGAGGCTGACCTTGAACTTGTGATCCTCCTGCCTCAGCCTCCTGAGCCACTGGGATTACAACCATTCTTTATTCTGCATTTCCTTAATATTTCTCTTCCCAAATGCAATATTTTGGATAAAATTTGTGCTTTATTTGAACTGAATGTATATTCTATGGCATTTGTACATTTGAGTTCTAAGTGTATGCTAATCCCAATGTTACTTTTGGGAAATGGCCTAAAAGGCAAGATGATTGATCTCAGTGAGCTGCTGACATTGTTAAATCCTGTATGTATGATATATCTGATCATACTTCATTCTTTTCTCCCTCTTCTTAGCACAGAAGGGTTCAGTCAATCCCGGGGAGGCCGACCAGAGGCTGCCAGGCTACTGGTGGTTGTCACTGATGGAGAATCACATGATGGAGAGGAGCTTCCAGCAGCACTAAAGGCCTGTGAGGCTGGAAGAGTGACACGCTATGGGATTGCGGTGAGAATTGACTCTGGATATAGAAGGGTTGGCAGGGGAAGACTCTGAGGACCAGGAACTTGAAGAAAATGGGGTATTATCTACCTCCTGGACTTCAGCCACATTTCCCTTCCTTCACTTTAGTTGACTATGTTCTCTATGAGCTCTAACACTTCACTCCACACATCTAATAGATGCCATCTTGATCTCCTGACCTCAGGTTCTTGGTCACTACCTTCGGCGTCAGCGAGATCCCAGCTCTTTCCTACGGGAAATTCGAGCTATTGCCAGTGATCCTGATGAGCGATTCTTCTTCAATGTTACTGATGAGGCTGCACTGACTGACATTGTAGATGCCCTAGGAGACCGAATTTTTGGCCTTGAGGGTAATGATTACCCTGGAGAAATGAAGGAAAGAATAGGGGGAATTCTGGAATATAGTTGGGGTTCTAGAGTAAATTCAGTAGGTCAAAGAGAGAATTGTCTTACCTTGATAGTGCATTGATATTTTCTCATATCCAAGGGTCTCATGGAGAAAATGAAAGTTCCTTTGGGCTGGAAATGTCTCAGATTGGTTTCTCCACTCATCGACTAAAGGTTGGACAGACTCTGACCCCTGCATGACATCTCCCAGCCTCTGACCTCCTCAATGACTCCTTCCAGCTACTGATTCAGACAACTTCAACCCTTGTCCCTTCTAGACTCCCGCTCTAACCAGCCTGCATGCTGAGCCTCAGTGCCTTTCTAAGTGACTATAGCAGACCTGTAGTGATTCTCTTTTTATTTACTCCTTATTCCCCGCTGTCTTTTCAGTGACCCCTTCTGGTTCTAACCCCACAGGATGGGATTCTCTTTGGGATGGTGGGGGCCTATGACTGGGGAGGCTCAGTGCTATGGCTTGAAGAAGGTCATCGACTTTTCCCCCCACGAACAGCCCTGGAAGATGAGTTTCCCTCTGCCCTGCAGAACCATGCAGCCTACCTGGGTGAGTAGCCGGAGGTTGCAGGAATGGGAGAGTGGGAGGAAGGAACGCGTTCCTGGTGTGGGGTATGAGGTGCTCCCTCTCAATTCCTGTAGCTTCCCCGTCTCTTTCTGGCTCCCTTGGGGCCTCCTCTTGTGCCCTTAGGGAGTCCCCACCCTGAGCTCATCTCCTCCCCTTCTGCCTCTGACGCCTTCCTGCTTCTAGGTTACTCTGTCTCCTCCATGCTTTTGCGGGGTGGACGCCGCCTCTTTCTCTCAGGGGCTCCTAGGTTTAGACACCGAGGAAAAGTCATCGCCTTCCAACTTAAGAAAGATGGGGCCGTGAGGGTCGCCCAGAGCCTCCAGGGGGAGCAGGTACAGTGTCCAGTGAGGGTGGGGCCCTTGGATCTTCAGGGACTTCCAGACTGATGGGAAAGAATGAGACAGGGCAGGAGAGAGGCCCAGAAGTTCTAGGCTAGGCTAGGGGTGTGGCTCAGTGGTAGAGTGCTTGCCTAGCAGGCACAAGGCCCCAGAATTCCATCCCCACTACGGAAAAAAATGTCTCCAAATTCTGATTATCAGAATGCAGGAATATAAGAGCCAGGTTGGCAGACTGGTGAGTACATCCCACTGAGTCCATTTATCCACACTCTCTTTTTTCTGGGGTCATCCCTACCTACCACTCTCCAGATTGGTTCATACTTTGGCAGTGAGCTTTGCCCATTGGATACAGATAGGGATGGGACAACTGATATTTTACTTGTGGCTGCCCCCATGTTCCTGGGACCCCAGAACAAGGAGACAGGACGTGTTTATGTGTATCTGGTGGGCCAGGTGAGACTTGCTGGGACTCCCTGGGATTTGTCAGGGTTGGGGAATGGATGGGTTTGCTGAGAGGCTTTTTATCTTCTATCTTGTTCTCACCTCCACCAGCAGGCTTTGCTCACACTCCAAGGAATACTTCAGCCAGAACCTCCCCAGGATGCTCGGTTTGGCTTTGCCATGGGTGCTCTTCCTGATCTGAACCAAGATGGATTTGCTGATGTGGCTGTAGGGGCACCCCTGGAGGATGGGCACCAGGGAGCACTATACCTGTACCATGGAACCCAGAGAGGAGTCAGGCCCCATCCTGCCCAGGTCAGAAATGCCCAGATGAGCAGGGATACAGTGGTATAAGCACAAGGGAGGGATGCTCTTTGCTTATCTGTAGTCTCCTTGCTCGAGTCTCAAACCAAACAAGTGCTTAATCAGTAGGTAACACAGTGAGGTAGTGCAGTGGGATGCAGGTTTCTGAACCAAGGGACTCCTAAACACAGTCAAGTTTCTCTTATTCCCCTATTGGACAGGAAGGAACTTGGCAGGAGGATTGAGAAACCAGATATATGAGTCCCTGCCTCAATCTTTCTCCCTCTCTTTCTCTTAGAGAATTGCTGCTGTCACCATGCCACAGGCCCTTAGCTACTTTGGCCGAAGTGTGGATGGCCGACTAGATCTGGATGGAGATGATCTAGTAGATGTGGCTGTGGGTGCTCAGGGGGCAGCCATCCTGCTCAGGTGAGGAGCCCCAACTCAGGTAGCAGTGGACAGCACAGCACATCTGTTAAGATAAAGGGCTTAGATTTGGGTTTCTGGAACAACTTTTTTTGTGCCTCCATTCCTAGTTTATAAGCATGCTGCCTGCCTTTTTGGTTTATTGTAAGGATCACATGGGATCATCCATGTAAAGATTTAAGCACCATTAGTGCTTATTGAATTGAATAGAAGTATAGAACTCTATACTTCTGTCATAGAGTTCAGGGAAGGGTGACACTGTGCATCCAGCCCCTCATTTTTATTTCAATGAGGGGGAGGCAAACACTGGGTGGCACTTCTTAAAGGGCTTACCTCCTCTTTCTGGAATTTTGTGTCTACCCTGTTCCTAGCTCCCGGCCCATTGTCTACTTGGCTCCATCACTGGAGGTGACCCCACCTGCCATCAGTGTGGTCCAGAGGGACTGTGGGCGGCGAGGCCAGGAGGCAGCATGCTTGACTGCAGCCCTTTGCTTCCAAGTGACCTCCCGCACACCTGGACGCTGGGATCACCAATTCTGTGAGTGCAAACTTCAACCCTTGCCTGCCTTGGTCTCTGAACTCCTCTTTACCCTCACTTTTGCCTTTCTCATTTAGATGTGCACTTCACAGCATCAATAGATGAGTGGATGGTAGGGGCACGTGCAGCATTTGATGGCTCTGGTCAGAGGATGCCCCCTCGGCAGCTCCAGCTCAGCGTGGGGAATGTCACTTGTGAGCAGCTGCACTTTCATGTGTTGGTGAGAAAGGGGCAGGAACTACTTTGCATTAATACCTTAGAGCTAGGAAAAGACTGGGTCAGAGGAGGAATTTCAAGTGGATCAGCAAGAAAGCTGAAACAGGGAAAGTAAGACAATTCAGGCTCTGGGATCAGGTTAATCTGTGTTTGATTCCTCTGCCATTTACTACCAAGAATTCTGGCAAGCCACTCTCTTCCAAATCTCAGTTTTCTTGTCTGCAGAGTGGTGATAATAATAACTATATCATATGAGTTGTATTAAAATCAAATTTAAGAGTATTGATAAGGGCCTAAGGATATAGCTCAGTGGTAGAACCCAGTACTATCACGACCTTGGGTTTAAGCCCTAGCACTGCAAAAACAAAACAAAACAAAACAAAAATAGTATTGGTAAAACCTCAAGATAGTACCCAGCACACAGAAAGTGCTTCCTGAATGATCACTATCATTATCATATTCTTTCATGGGCCTGGGTTTCATACCTAACTCTGGCTCCCATAATCCTTAACTCTGGTTTCCTTCAGGATACATCAGATTATCTCCGGCCAGTGGCCTTGACTGTGACCTTTGCCTTGGACAACACCACAAAGCCAGGGCCTGTGCTGGATGAAGGTTCACCCACCTCTATACGAAAATTGGTTAGCAGTGCCAAGCCCTGCCCTACCCTTGGGTCTCAACACTGCTCTCCCAGTGAATTCAAGAGAAAGGGGAGGGGGAAACATGAGGTTTTTATGCTGAAAGCTGACATAGACCTCTCTAATGGAAGTATGTTCATTCTTCTCTTTCTGCTTTCCCCGAAGAGCATGCCTTTCTTCCTGCCTTCCTCTCATCCCTGAGGACCTTTTCTCTCTTCCAGGTCCCCTTCTCCAAAGACTGTGGCTCTGACAATGAATGCATCACAGACCTGGTGCTTCAAGCTAACATGGACATCAGAGGCTCCAGGTTGATAGACATGAGCTGGGCAAACCAGGGTGATCTGAGAAAGACGGGGAGGAACTCAAAGGGAGTTGGGGATTTGTTTCTTACAAGGATAACAGAAGTGAGATTTTGGTGCTCCTTCAATTCCTGGTCTCTCCCTTATCTACCACTCCCAGGAAGGCCCCATTTGTGGTTCGAGGTGGCCGGAGGAAAGTGCTGGTATCAGCAACTTTGGAAAACAGGAAGGAAAATGCCTACAACACTAGCCTGAGTCTCAGCTTTTCTAGAAACCTCCACCTAGCCAGTCTCACTACTCAGGTGCCTTTGGAGAAAGGGGTTAGGGGAGGAGGGGAGAAAGGAGGAGGAAGAAGATTGGGGTATTGGCTTTGACTGCGAGGTGCTCTGGAGAAATGTTCAGTGGTTAGTGGCTAGAGGGAGGCTGTGGGTAGGGGAACAGTTGCAGGCCAGGCCCCAGCCTCTACCCCTATTCCTCTGCCCTCAGAGGGACAGCTCAGTAAAGGTGGAATGTGCAGCTCCTTTCCCTAATGCCCGGCTCTGCAGTGTGGGGCATCCTGTCTTCCAGACTGGAGCCAAGGTGAGTTGGGGCCCAGGCTGAGGAAGGGGTTCAGGAAAAACAGAGACTGTAATCTGTGGGGCCTGGGAAGTCAGGGAAGGAGGTACACAAGGATTCCTGGTCCTCCGTTGTTGTTCTATGAAGAAGAATGTACCTTAACAATGTCCCCTGCCCCCAGGTGACCTTTCTGCTTGAGTTTGAGTTTAGCTGCTCCTCACTCCTGAGCCAGGTCTTGGTGAGGTTGAATGCCAGTAGGTGAGAACAAAGGGAACTTCTTTCCAGCTCTCTTCTTTTGGTATTGAGTTGGGGGTTGGGGAGAGGAACAGCCCTGACTCTTCTACTAGCATGGAGGGATATCTGAGGAGGGATTGGGATGTGAGCCCTTCCTCCCCCCTCTGACCCTACAGCAGTAGCCTGGAAACAAATGGGACCCTTCAAGATAACACAGCCCAGACCTCTGCCTACATCCAGTATGAGCCTCATCTCCTATTCTCTAGGTATGGCCCAGTCCTAGCTGGGACTCAGTTCCTATGCCAGACTCATGTTTCTTCCCTCTCCTTCCACATGCTTCAGTGTTCCCAGAAACACAAACCCTTGGGGCTACTCATTCTTTTTGTCCTCGCTCTCACCCATAAGGAAATTTCTCTTTTAAGCATCTTACTTTTCTAGGTATAAGACTTTGCATTTCCCCTGGGATGAGGGGATATGGGATGTGGCTATAAAATTTGTTTCGCATCTATGTCATGTTTCGTTTCTTTATTCTCCACGTACCCCCATCACTTTATCCATGTGCTGGCCCTATTTCTCTGAATCCATGCCTGTGTGCTGATCATGTGCCCCTGTGCCTGTCTTGGCGGTGACCTTGTATCTCCTGACTTGTCCACACAGTGAGTCCACCCTGCACCGCTATGAGGTTCACCCCTATAGGACCCTCCCAGTGGGTCCTGGCCCTGAATTCAAAACTACTCTTAGGGTGAGAAGCTGGAGGGGCCTTGCCATGACAGGGGCATGGGAGTGGGGAGGACAATAACTGTGGGAAAGGGAAACTGGGGGAAAAGGACGGGCAGAGACTCTCTTGGATTTTAATGGTGTCTCCCACCTCTTCTTGTTTACAATCTTCCTCTCAGGTTCAGAACCTTGGCTGTTATGTGGTCAGTGGCCTCATCATCTCAGCTCTTCTTCCAGCTGTAGCCCAGGGAGGCAATTACTTCCTGTCACTATCTCAAGTCATCACTGATAATGTGAGTCTGGGCTGGGGCATGCGGAATCCTGTCATCTGGAGCTGATGGACTCACTGAAGCTGGATACCATACCAGCTCCCTGTCTGTTGGCCCAGCACCCTCAGAGCTCTACTTCCTGGGGACATTTCTTTTACATGTGTGGCTCCTTTGAGAGGAAAGAAAGGGGTTTTACATAGAAAGATCATAAGAATGTGGGAAGTACCCTGCTCCACCTGGCCTCCCTCAGCAGCAGGTCTTTGAGGGTGAATCTTCCTCTGCAGGCAAGCTGCACAGTGCAGAACCTGACCAAGCCCCCAGGCCCCCCTGTGCATCCAGAGGAGCTTCGGCACACAAACAGGCTGGTATGAGTCACAAGAGAGTAACCAGAGCAGGAGTACAAATAGAGTCAGTTACCTGTGATGGAGGGGTGTGTGTGTGTGTGTGAGTGAGTGCGCTCACGCATGCGTGGGTGGTATATGTGGGAAGAGGGGTTCTTTCTCCTCCGGGACCCTGATCTGTCTTTCTTTTCTGGTAGAATGTCAGCAATACTTGGTGTCAAGTTGTGAGGTGCCACCTTGGGCAGCTGGCAAAGGGGACCGAGGTCTCTGTTGGACTACTGAGGCTGGTTCACAATGAATTTTTCCGGAGGGTAATACTTCCCTTTCCTATTAGTCTCCCTTTCTACTCCTATCTATGACATTAATATAAGTTTTGGAGGTCGACAGAACCATGTTCAAGTTTTACTGTTGCCTATTACTAGCTATTTGACCATGAGCTTCTTTTTACTGATCTTTAAAGTAAAATGGGATAGTGTCTATTTTATGGAGTTTTTGTAAATAAAAAAAATAGTGAGCTGGACGCTGAACACTCAGTAAACCTAGTTATTATTTTTCTATTTTCCTTTATCATCTTTTAGTGCTGTATTAATAATCAATCAACATTTATAGGACACCTAAACTTCATCAGTTAATAATCCATTGAATACTTATTATGTAAAAGATTGGTATTAGGTCAGTCAACACTGAGGATAATGTCCCCAACATTTATCATCATGCCTAACTCATTGTAGGTACTTACTACATTTTTGTTAAATGAATGGATAAAATAATTATTTTTACATGTAGGACTTGTATTTGGGGGGTAGGAAGTAAGATTTTATATATATATATATATATATATATGTTGTAGTTGACACAATACCTTTATTTATTTATTTATTTATATGTGGTGCTCAGGATCAAACAAACCCATGGTGTCACACGTGTGAGGCGAGTTCTCTACCACTGAGCCACAACCCCACGCCCCAGAAATGACATCTTAATTATAAATAGCTATGTAGCACTAGAAGTTTTTTATATTGTATATTTTATTTATTTATTTATTTTTTTAGTTGTTGACAGACTTTTATTTTATTCATTTATTTTTATGTGGTGCTGAGAATTGAACCCAGTGCCTCACATTTGCAAGGCAAGTGCTCTACCACTGAGCCACAACCCTAGCTCCTGTATATTTCTATATACCACCTACTTTGAATAATACCAGATCCCAGGGATGTAGGTATAAGTTTGGAGGAAGTCTATCAAACCACATATCTCCAAGTCTGGTTCTCGCTTTATCCTTCTTTGATTTTTTTTTTCACTCTTTTATTTATTCTTAACAAAGATTTATTAAGAAACTGCTACACTCTTGGCACTGTGGTAGGCACTAGGCACTGGAGACACAATGGTTAGTGAAACACAGACCTCAACCTCAAGGGTCTTATAGTTCAGTGGAAAAAGATAAGTAAACACCAGGTATGTTAGGTTTAGAGACATGTGACTGGCATGTGCTCAGCTCTCGTGAGCTCCCTCTTGGCTATGTCACATCATGGCAGGAGCATACAAACATGTCATCTGGTCTCTCTTTTTATAAAGCCACTGGGATTCAATTCAAGAGGGGCTCCATCCTAATGACTTTAATCTTAATCATATCCCAAAGGGCCCATCTCTAAAAACCACAGATGGATAAAGTTTCTTTCCTCTTAATCTTACAACAGGGATTGAATTTCAACACATGAAGACTTGTTGAGAAATATATCAGAATTCATCAAAACCATAATTCCATAGTTAGGAGGAGACACTTTCCTAATTCCCAGAGGGGTGAATGAAAGGAGAGTAGGATGCATTTCAGATAATAGCACATTTGAAGGTCCAGAGGCTTCTCTCTGTTTCCCTTCCTCTCTTTTCCCATTGGCCTCCAACCTCTTCTGGTCTCAAGGGCCCTGGAGTTGTACCACTCAGGCTAGACATTGTTCTTGCACCACACCACCTGATGATGGCTCACTTTAAATGCCTTCCCATCCCCTTGTTCCACAGGCCAAGTTCAAGTCTGTGACAGTGGTCAGTACCTTTGAGCTGGGAACTGAGGAAGGCAGTGTCCTACAGCTAACTGAAGCGTCCCGTTGGAGTGAGGTAAGACTAGAGACTGAGTTTGACAGATTTGAAAATAATGGTGATGGGGGATGGGAATGTAGCTCAATTGGTAGAGTGCTGGCTTCGCATGCACCAGGCCCTGAGTTCAATCCCCAGTGGGATAGAACACTTGTGACCTTTTAGTCAGGAATGATAAATGAGGATTCTAGGGTTCCACTGCCTCCATTCCTATCTCAATTTTTCTCCTTTGAGTAGAAAGAATCTCCTTATTCTATTTTGAGGCTGGCATTGTTATAATGTTGGGGGCGGGGCTGGTGGGGTTAAAGGTCACATGTAAAAACCAACTCTTCCCCTCACATAGAGCCTCCTGGAGGTGATTCAGACCCACCCTGTCCTCATCTCCCTGTGGATCCTCATTGGCAGTGCCCTGGGAGGGCTGCTCCTGCTTGCTCTCCTTGTCTTCTGTCTGTGGAAGGTAAGCACTGCTTAGTGGGGAACGTGATGCCCACCAGCTGAGGGATCCGAGACTATAACAGGGAGAATAGGATTTGTACTGGGCAGCTAAACAGGCTGTAGGTTTAATGCCCAGATCTTCACTGTACTCCACAAATGTTGGTTGGATTAAACTAAGCCAATTAAAATAAAATTGAATCCCGTTTTTGGAAGCAGAGCAAAAGTGAAAACCTCAGATAAGTCTGAGGGCTATTGGCAAGGTCCCCAGTAAGGGCATCTGGCAATGCCTCTTATCTTTTCCTCTACAGCTTGGCTTCTTTGCACGTAAGAAAATCCCTGAGGAAGAAAAAAGAGGAGAGAAGCTGGAGCAATGAATGTAAAATAAGGCTCTAGAAAGTCCTGCCTGGCAGCTTCTTCAAGAGACTTGCGTCAGAGGAGAGGTTTGGAGGCTCAGAGGGGACAAGAAGATGCTTCTGGACTAACTCCCCAGACCTGCAGCTTGACTTGACTTTTGAGTCCTGAGAATGTTGCTGGCAAGAGATGAAGCTTTACCTCAAAAAAAAAAAAAAAAAAAAAAGGCTGGCACAAGAACTAGCAACACTCCCACCCAGTGCTTCCCTATTCCTCAGGATCCCGGTTCCACAGCCAATACTGGGGTCTCTGTTCCTCCCACCCATCACCACCAGAAACAAAAGAATTTTTCTCCTAGGTCTCTCTCCTTCCAGAACCCTTTGTCCTGGAAAGGATGAGTGTTATCCTCCTCCATTCCCCCACTCTCTCACCTTTCTGCCTATTCCCCACTCCACAGGAGGGAGCTGGCATTGGCTTGCAAGATGTAAAGTCAACATCTGCTGCTTTCCTGTGGAGTCTAGTGATTCATAGAGCCGGATGGGGAGAGTCAACAGGAAAAAAGGAGGGAGGAGGAAAAGCCACAAGAGACACTCTGTACAATTCCAAGGAACAGAGAAGCCTTTAGACAGGCAACTGCCATCCCCCCTGAAACCTGAGACTCTGTGGTGCACTCGCCAACCCTCAGGTGCTGGGGACACAGAGCTGCCCCCAGGCTTGCTGGGCATGGGCTTCCCAACCCTTCGCCTTCCCTGGGAGCAAAGCCAGGGCCAGGTGCCTGATTTTCTGGAGCCAGGGGCCCCCAGGTGGCTGAAACTAGAATAGCAGAGAAGACCAGGTAGTTAAGCTTTGTTTTCTCTACTTCTCTGACCTTACTTGCTCTCTTCAGCCCTCCTTGGAGTCTCATAGAAAGCCAAGAGAAGAATACTGCTGGATGGTGGGAAACTCTTTTGCTTTACCAGCTTTGGGAAGCAGTAGCCCCATGGGCTCCGAACAAGTAGGGTGTACATTGAGAAGTCAAAGTGGGCAGCATGAGTTCTCTAGGGAGCAAGCCCCTTCTTGCCCAGCACTGGTTGTGTAGCACAAATAGCTCTTAGGAAAATGTTTCTGGGGCAACCCCAATCATACTTTGTAGGGTTTCTCTGTTGGAATCAGTTTATCAGACCTTGTTTGCTGTTTACTGGAAATCCCCAAGTAAATTTCTGACCTACTCCACCCTCATCCCATATTTTGGTCATGGCCATTAAAGGCAATTGGATTATCATAGACACTGGGAAACATTTGTTTCTTAGTAATCAAGGCTATGGATACCAGAGTCAGTTACTGGTCTGAGAGTACAACCACCGAAGAATCAACACCCATTTAGAGTTGAAAAGAAAGAAGACAACTGATTGGGCAGTTGACTAGCAGCCACAAAAACCTGTCCTCCCAGGCTGTTATTGAGTCCTAGGTGCATTGTTTATTTTGGCATGTCTCTTGTCTGCTATAGACAGGGACACTCCTGAACATTGTTTCCCAGCAGGGTGGACAATGTTTCAGGTGGTCAGAATAAATAAAGTTCAGTATCAGGTGATTTCTGGCTCAATTTGAGTTCCCTAGGATATGGACTGCTCAGGAATAATGAAAAGTAAATTACTGGTTTGCCTGAGACCTTGTATATATAGTAGAGTCCCTGGAAGGCAAAGTTATGAAATAGTCTGAATATTCTTCGTGATTCTCTCACTGGAGATTGCTCTGGCCTCCTGAAATTCTCACCTACTTAAGTGACCATAGAGTCTAAAGTGTGTAGGTTTGGAAAGCATGGAGGCATAGAGTGAAACCCCAGGTCTGCTATTTATTAGCTTCGGGCCTTAACCAAATTATAACTTCCTTCAGGCTAAGATAACAATAAAAGTCTGTGTAGTACAGTGGTTAGGAATGAAAACAGATTTGGATTTAAATCCAGGTTATACTGCTTAAAACCTGTTTGTCTTAGAACAGGTTTAACTTCTCTCCTTTAAATGTATTAGGGTTGTGAGATTGTTCAAGAAAAGTGAGCATATAGTAAGTGCTCAAAAATGGTAACTATAATTATAAAAATATTTTGTTATATATCGGGCACCATGGCTCTCTCTTGTAAACCCAATGACTCCAGAATCTGAGACAGGAGGATAGTAAGTTAAAAGGCAGCCTCCACAATTTAGCAAGACCCTGTCTCAATATTTTAAAAAATGTTTAAAAGGATTGAGGATGTAGCTCAGTGGTAAGACGTCTGTGGATTCAGTCCTCAGTGCTGAAAAAAAAGTTTCATTATAAAATAATCTACTTTATCATGTGTTATGAGGATTTAGTAAGAAAGTACACTGAAGCACCAAGTGATACTCCTGTTCTGGTGATTCTTTCCCAGACCCTGAAGATTTGTTTCTTCTATGTGCTGTTATCTTCTTCCACTAAATCTTTTCTATGCCTCACCCCTTTCAAATGTTTCTGAGCCCTCAAAAGTGATCATTAACTGATTAGCCTAAGGTTCTAATAGTAGAAATCAAATCTATTCCAGGTATGGTGGTACATACTTGTAATCCTAGCAGTTTGGGAGACTGGTGCAGGAGGATCATGAGTTCAAAGCCAGCCTCAGCAATTTAGCGAGGCCCTAAGCAACTTAGTGAAGCCCTGTCTCTAAACAAAATATTTAAACAGACTGGGAATGTGATTCGGTGGTTAAGTGCCCCTGAATTCAATCCCCAGGACCAAAAAAGAAAGAAATCAGATCTATTTTATTTCTTTATATGTCTAGGTGTCTTCTAGACTCCTCTTGAGACACCCAGAGTTTTAGTATCCCCAAGAACATGTGCATTTAATGGCCTTATAGAGATCAGGTGGCCTAACTGGCCTTTTAGGGAGGGAAACCATCTGCATTTGTGGGTTATTTTGTAAGAGTATAGTCCATGATGACCCTCCCTTCACTTCTTTTTTTTTAATATTTATTTTTTAGTTATACATGGACACAACATCTTTATTTTTATGTGGTGCTGAGGATTGAACCCAGTGCCTCACACAAGCTAAGTGAGCACTCTACCTCTGAGCCACAACCCCAGCCCCTCCCTGCACTTCTTATTGGCTCTAACTTGATCAACCTTCATGGAGTCTGGGACTGGAACTGAAGTCTACTTATGTTAACAGATTTCCTTACGTCTTAACCCCCAATGAGCCTCCGAAGGAAAGTAGATTTTTTTTGAATATTGGTTCATCTAATCCTTTATCCTCAATATTTTATTCTTTATGATTAATAGAGTACTTTAGTATACCATTAAGTAGTAGGAGTATGTTACATACAAGAGGCATACTTTGTTGGATAATGTAGCAGGATTTTAAGGGAAAACTTAACTGAAAAAAAAAAAAAAAAAAACAGAAACTTTACCTGGGGCCTCACTGAATGAGAGGGGATTTTGGGGAGGATTAATTGCCAGATGCAAAGTGAATTGTAGTAAATTAAAGCAGTTTGACTTTGGGCTCTTTTGTAAAAGTAATGAGAGAAGACACTGAGGATGAAGAGACAGTCCTGCTTTGGAAGAGCTTTCAAACCACATTAAGAGTTTTTCTCTTTGAGAGTCTGGTGGCATGCATTTGTAATCTAATCTCAGAGATATAGAAGGCTGAGGCAGGAAGATCACAAGTTCAGGGACAGCCTTGGCAACTTAGACCCTGTCTCAAAATTAAGAGAGAAAGAAAGACAGTGGGAAGGGAGGGGGGATGTAGCTTGGTGGTAGAGGGCCCCTGGGTTCATTACCCAGACCACATACACACACATTTCCTTTGGCGCTGTGGTGGGGATCAAACTCAGGGCCTCTGGCAAGCTCCACCACTGACTTATGTCCCCAGGTGTTCTTTAGGTTTTCACAGCGGGTTTGCTGGAGCCACAGGAGGGAGTTAAGAGAGCTGGGAAGACCAGGTGGTTGCGCCCGATTGATTGTTCAAGCAAGAATTACTGAAATCTGAATTTAAGGGTCGTGGAAATAGGGAAGATAATTGTTCCGGAAAGGGAATACTTAAAAAATAAAAAAATTTCTTCTTATCCTTTCCTAATTCTGAAATTGAGCGTGATCCCCTTTCCCTCGGGTTTTGTCCCCAGGTGCAGTGGGCCACTTTATCCGTGCTCAGTCCTCTGCTTAGCACTACAACCTCCTCCTGTTTCAAACTGCTCTCTTTAAATCCTCTTTGGGGCTGGAGTTTGGGGGGGGAGCGAAGCAGAATAACTGACAAAGGTCTTTGGATCTAATAAAGCGCCGTCACTAGGGTTAAAGCAGGCAGTAGGCAAGAGCCAAGGCCACCCAGAGAAGCGGGACCGAGCTCCGGCTGCAGTAGCGCGCGATCTCGGGGCGGGGCCGGGGCGGGGCTTGGGGCGGAGCCACATCCCGGAACGGAGGTGGGCGGGGCCCGAGGGGACTTTCAGCCGTTGTCCGCGGGGTTCCTTCTCGGATGGAGCAGGTCGGAGCGGGGGAGTGGGCGGGCTCAGACTGAGGGGAGGCTGGAGAGCCGGCCTCTGTCGCCGCCGGAGACTGCGGGCTTTCTCCCTCTGCAGGGGCGTGGGGCGGGGCCGGGGCGGGGCTGGCGACCCAGCCTCCCACTTCGGGCCTCCGATTGAGCGGGGCCGGGGCGGGGCCGGGGCGGGGCCTGAGGCGGGGCCCTCTCTGCTTTTTGACAGCTGTCTTTCGAGCAGCCGCAGCCGAGTCCGGTGGGTTTGGGAACCTGTGGCCCGGCTCTCCACGCGTCCCCGTCCCCTCTGTGGCCCTGGCCCCGGCCATGAAGCGCATCTTCTCCTGCTCCAGTTCACAAGTGGCGGTAGGTACCAAAGACGTGGGGAGTATGGGGCTGGGGTCCAAGCCCTGTGTTGACAGTAGTCCTGAATCCCATCTCCAGGCTTCATCGTCTTTCCTTATCTCTTCATCGGTCTTTCCAGAGACCCCCAAACCGCAATGCGGCCCACTAGCCTTGCTAACTTAACTTAGTGGAGGTCATTTATAACCTGTTCCCCAGCCTCCATCTTGCCTTCTTAACCTCGGCTGTACCCAAGGTTCTTTTCCTTAGCCCCTTTCTTGTCCTCCTAGCATCTACACCCCCAACTTCTGCAGTCCTGTCCCCTTCCCAAGTTCTACCTCTACTCTGTCTCTCAGTATCAAACCACCCACAAGTATCTGATCCGGTCCCTGCCCAGCCCTTGACTTCATTCAACCACCCTAATTCTTATCCAAGACTTTCACTGTCCATCCCTTCCCAGTTCTCATGTTCCTGCCCTGCCAGGTGGCCCGTCCATAGTGTTTTCTGTCATCCCAACAAGCTGCATTTTCCCTAGCCCTTCTTCACAGTCTCCTCTCTCCTTGCCTTCATTCTACCCCATGCCACTTCCACTGCCATTTTCTTATTAGCACTACTGAACTTCAAACATCACTCCAAACCTCTTTCCAATTGGTGCTCCCACAACAGCAGCCTCTGTTCCCCCCCTTTTCCCATTTTGCCCAGTGGTCACCCAGTCCCACTTCTCCCTCTTTTGCCTGGACCACCTTCTGTCCGCTCACTTGTGGGTTAATCTTGCAGTCTAGCCAGCCTGGCAGGCACTGCCAGAGGACGCACAGTTGCCTGGCTGCTCCCCAAGGGACTGGGTGAGTTGCCTGCAGAATCCACCCTCTAGTTCACTGCAGTGTCTGGATATCAGACTGATTCTTGGGGTCAGTCAAAAGCTTTCTTCCCAGTTCTCTCTAGACTCTTCCTTTGTTCTGAACCCTCATCCAGTTGTTTAGGTCTTGTATTCCTTGTTTCCTTTGATTGAATTTGAGAAAGTGATGTTGAAAGGAGAGGAGAAGGGAGGAGGTTAGGGTGGATCATCATGAGAATCCACGACAGAAGTCATTCTGTGTTCCCCCAGAACAAAGCAGAAGGAAGAAGACTGCAGAAAGTAGTAGCTCAGAAGAGATCGCTAATGATCTCTTACAGAAAGACCCCCTATCTGGGGATGGACTTTCTTGTGGAGGTTGGGGTTATAAATCAGAAGTGAATTAGCCAGCTATTTGGAGTAATATTGCTTAGTTACCTTGATTTAGTGTTGTCGTTTAAAAGCAAATATGAGAAATGCTCAGTTAGCTCACTCTTTCTGCATGGGCAGACCACAGAATTCTGAAAGAAAGCTATGAGGCAAAAGTAGGAACTTTGTTGAGGCCTGTCCTTGTCCCATTTGCATTTGCTTCTCCACTAAGTTTCCACATACTGATAAACTAGTCAAAAGGTAGTTACCAAA